CTCTCCCTCCCCTCTCCCTCCCCTCCCCCTCCCTTTCCCTCCTCCTCTTCCTCTCCCCTTCCCCTCCCTGAGGAGGATGGCAGCTCCTAGAACAACTCTCCATCTACAAGCTGTCATGCCACACCACTGCGTGTTCTCAGCAGCTGTGCAGAAGGCTCTAGTTTGTCCGTATCTTCACATGTGTCTGAGTTTGTGGTTGGTTTGGTTTTAAGACAAGTTCTCGTGTAACCCAGGTGGCCTCAAGCTTGCTATGAAGTCAAGGATAACTTTAAACTTCTGATCCTCCTGCCTCTACCTCCTGAGTGCTAGGGTTACGGCATGCAGACCCACATCTGTGTCTATACAGTACTGGGGACTGAACCCAGACTTTCAAACACTCTAGACAGGCTCTCTACCAACTGAGCTACATCCTCAGCTGGTTTTTGTTTTTTGGGGTTTTTTTTAAGATTTATTTATTTATTTATTTTATATATGTGAGTACACTGTAGCTGTTTTCAGACACACCAGAAGAAGGCATCAGATCCCATTACAGATGGTTGTAAGCCACCATGTGGTTGCTGGGATTTGAACTCAGGACCTCTGAAAGAGCAGTCAGTGCTTAACCTCTGAGCCATCTCTCCAGCCCCAGTTGTTTGCTTTTTAATAATAGTTGGCTCCATAAATGTGCTAGTCTTGATTTATTTATTTATTTATTTATTTATCTTTTTTTTTTTCGAGACAGGGTTTCTCTGTGTAGCCCGGGCTGTCCTGGAACTCACTCTGTAGACCAGGCTGGCCTCGAACTCAGAAATCCACCTGCCTCTGCCTCCCAAGTGCTGGGATTAAAGGCGTGTGCCACCACTGCCCAGCGGTCTTGGTTTCTAAAACAAAATAAAACAAACCAAACAAACAAACAACGCCCTGTGAGGAGCAGGGCTTTAGTAAGGATCACAACCTTCCATGAAGGCTGTCTGTCTGGTCAGTGACTAAGTGTTTGGCTCTAGAGCAGTGGTTCTCCACCTGTGGATCATGACCCCTTAGAGGGTCACATATCAGAAATCCTTCAGAGCAGATATTTACATTATGGTTCATAACAATAGCAACTTTACAGTTACAACGTAGCAATATATAATGTTATGGTTGGAGATCACCACAGCCTGAGGAAACACAACATTAGCAAGGGTGAAAACCACTG